CTGGGGTGACGCCCGCGGCGACGCTGCTGAGACGCGCAGCGGGACGCGCGTGCTCAGTGTCGTTGGCAGGGGTGGGGACATGGGGACACAGGCACCACGTACGCTCTGGAGGGACCCGCCACAAGATACCGCCCTCCAAATGTCCCTGGCTGTGGTTAGCGAGCTCCCCAAAGCGACGCCCCCGGACACGGATCGCGCCCGCTGTGCCGCACAGCGCGGGCTCAGGGGCGCGTCCACGTCGCAGGGGACCCGGACTGGACGCTGGGGCCGGGGACTTGCAGCTTTCACAGGCCACGTCCAAGGATGCGCCCGTGACCCGCGGGCCCAAACCCGACACCAATGCAGTGCAGGGCAGTCGCGCGGGGCCCTGCAGGGTCACAGGGCTGTTTGGCGCTCAGCGGCGTAGTCTTTGGGGACCCCCCACCCGGATTCAGCGGCGTAACGCATGCGCAGTGAAGCGGGGCAGCGGCGTGTCCCGCGTGCTGCGTTTTCGCGGCCGTGGCCGAGGTGTCCCGGGCCGTCCCGACACCAACGACCCACTGTCCACGCCATGGAGCCCCCGCGACAGGCCAGGCGCCACCCCCCGGTCAGCCGTGCCACGCATGGGCCATAAATCAGGGTTCCCGCGCCCCTCCCTAGCGCCGGTCACTTCACAGAACTGCGCACAAACCTCAGAAAAGCGCCGCGCGCACCCCACGGTCCACTGCGCAGCGTGAGCCCCAGGGACCCGGGGAGGAGACCCCAGGGCGGTCCGGGGAAAGGACCCCGAGCTCTGTTCGGCCCCCCACGTGACACCGGGGTTCATGGGACGCCTCGGGTTCCCACGCGGCGGAGCCTTGGGTCACGGCAGACGCGGCCGCGTGCGACCTCGTCCCGCGCCCCTGACTCCCACGCGTCCTTCGCCTGCCCCGTCGCGGATCCCGCCACGCACGAATGGCGTCGTCACGTTCTGACGTCAAGGTACTTTATTCCGTGACTGTTTCTGGGTTCAGTTATGCAGGGGACAGCAGTGTCCCCTTCCTCTTCCTCCAGCGTGATTCACTTGGGTGGAAGCCCCCTGACCCCACCACCGTGCCTAACAGGCAAGGCCCTGGGGACAAGGCTGTCACCTGGAGCCTTGACGGCCCTGCAGTCACCTCACCCGCAGGCCTCGCGTGCTCTCCCACACCCAGCACCTGGGCTCCTGAGCTGTGCACGGGCCTGGGGCTCTGCAGCCTGGGACATGCCTGTCCCGGGGTCCAGCTGCCCAGGCACACGGCACGGCCATCGGGAGGGGCACTTGCCACCTGGGCACTGTGGAGACAAGTGCCAGCATCATCTCCTGCTGGCCCAGGCTCTCTCTGTGCCTCCTCTCCCTCACTGCGTCTCAGGCGCTGGTGACCAGGAGCCTCGCTCCATCTCGTCCCTACACCTGGCCCCTGGACATACAGGTTGGCAGAAGAACGTTCCAGAAGGCTGCTCCTGCTCCCCGCCCAGCCCCCAAGCTTGTAGAATGGGACTGGCTGGTGTTTGCAGCAGGAGCTTGTCAAACACCCATGGGCGCCCGGAGATGACGGCCCCTCTGGGATGCAGGATCCGGTTCACCCCGACCCCGTGACCTGCCGTGTTTGTCCTTGCTCCGTCGTCCGTCACGGTTTTACGTCCTGCTGGCCTTCATTGTATGTGACATTTAAACATCTGTAACGATGGCATCTCTTACTACTCGTGGTACATAAAATAATGTCCCCAAAGACATCCATGTCCATATCCGTGTGTGGTGGACAGAATAATGTCCCCAAAAGGTGTCCACTTGCAGATCCTGAAGCCGGTAACGACGTGACCTCACCCTTTGCTCATGTGACTAGTTAGGGAACTTGAGAGCCAGTCTGCAGTTTTCCAGGCGGTGCCACATCATCGGAAGGGTTTTTATGGGGCAGAGGCAGATAAGCCGCAAGATGGCAGCTCTGCGCTGTGTTACGTCCCAAAGTTCGGGTCATTTGTCCCACATCCAGTGGAAAGTCACGCCTTGGTAAACCGTGGCTGGTGGAGACGCAGGAGGCGGACAATGTTCGCACACGGAAGGCTGAGACGTCACAGATCCGTGTGTCCGGCCCCGGGGGATGCGGGCGGGAGGGAAGGGCACCTGAACCACCGAAATATTTGGCCGACCACGGGGGAGGCTAGAAGGGACATTACATGGTCAGCAGACACACACATGCACACATATACGTGCACATATGCGCACACACACAAACACACACGTACACATGCACACACACACGCACGCGTCTAGGGTGATGCAGACGTAGCAGCGTCGCTGGTGCCCGCCGTGGGTTCTGCCACCTCCTCCATGGTCAGGAGGTCTTCAACGTCCTCTTTCCCTGCAGCTGGTGCGAGTGTCTCCCAGAGGACCTGGGGAGGAGACCACAGGCGGCCGTCACATTTTCAGGAGCCGGGGAAGCTGGCCACGGGGGCAGGGGACAGGTGTCTGAGGCAGAGCTGCGTGGGTGAACTTGTAGGGGACAGAGGGCAGGACTGGCCGCAGGGAGGCCTTGGGAAGGGACGTCCAGGACGGGGGGTGGCAGATGCAGAGGTCCTGGAGCAGGACGCAACTCTGAGAAAAAGTGACAAGGTGGCTCGTCCTGTCCCAAGGATGTGGGCAAGCCCTCGGCATCCCAGGGAGCCAGGCTCCGGGGAGGGGCTGACGGCGTGGGCTGATGAGAAGGAACCGAGGTGTCCAGGCCAAGGGCACGGAGAGCGGGAGGGGACCCAGGGCACGTGGCAGGGCAGTGGACAGCACCCCGTGCGGGCGGCCAGGGACAGAGCCGGGGCTGGCAGCAGGGGGACGGCGGGGCCCTGTCCCGGGGAGACCGCGGCATGTCCCCAGGGGCTGTTGGGAGCGAACGTCACCCTGTCCTCTGTCCTTCTCCGTCCTCTCTGGGCACGTGCTCCGTGAGGTCAGCTGAGACCCCTTCCTGTCTGTCTCTGTCCTATGTCTGTCTCTCCATATCTACTGTCTATCTACTATCGATATCTACCTATCTATCTATCTATCTATCTATCTATCTATCTATCTATCTATCTATCTTCTATCTCTATCTATCTATCATCCATACCTATCATCTATCTATCAGGTATATATTTATCTATCAATCATCTATCATCTGTCTATCATCCGTGTCTGTCTATCATCTATCCGTCTATTATTCTCCATCTTCCTTTCAGAGTCTCTCTCTGTCCTCTCTCTTTTCGATCTTCTTTCATCTTTTCTCCTGCTTCTCTCCCCGCCACCCCAATTTCCCCAGACAGCTGAGGAAGTAGGCGTGACCTCTGACCCCGGGACGATGCCAGTGAGCAGGGGGAGGGATTGCAGCCACACCCCGTGGGCCCCCCAGTGGGACGTGGAGGAGACTGCAGGACACGTGCAGGGTGGCCGTGCCCCTCCCCACGCGGGCCCCCACTGTGCACCCGCCACACACACCTGGTCGGGCTGATGACTGTCGTTAAGCTTGTCTTTGATCTGCGGAATGG